GCTGCTCCTTGAGGCCTTTGTTGTTGTTTTCATCCAGTTCACACCCACTCAGGTGCCAGTGCCTTACGACCCCAAGGAGCCAAGCACTGAATCCCCAGACAGGAGGAGGAGGTTGGAAAGCAGGGAGTGTGCCAATCCCCGGGCCAGGCGCCAGGCTGTGGTCAGGAGGAGCTGGGCTTCTCCACTGAGGGGTAGATCTTGCGCAGGCTAGAGTCCAGGAGGAAGTCCACTGACCTGTGGGGCGAGGGAGGGTGATGAAGAAGTGACCAATGGGGGAATGGGAGGCAGGAGGTCAGGGCTAGGGGCAGGGGCTCTCTGGACGCAGGGCACAAGTTCCATCCAAGTGGCAGCCTTCACCCTCTTCTTTATTCCGTTAGGACAACGGAGGCGCAGAGAGGGTACAAGACTCACTCACAGCCTCAGGCTCAGCTGTGTTCCATTGGAGAAAGACTCCTCCCACTCCATGTTGGTCTGGTTCTAAGTGCAAGCACATGACCCAAGCCTGGCCAATCAGAGAAGGGCAACTGGCTCAGGGGTGGATACCCAGTTTACAATGGACCAATGACAGCCTTCCTTGGGATTTTTGCTGTCACTATTAAGAAGATTCCCATGGGGCTTGCTAAGCTGGTGGGATGGAAGCTGGGAGCTGCTGGGGGCCATCTCTGCTCCCATGAGGGAAAAGTGTGAGTGAAGCCAACATGGGGGGTGGGGTGGAGGAAAGGGCAGCAAGATGGGGAGACCCAGACCCCCTAATGACATCATTTGGGTGCCTAGATCCAGCCATGCCTGACAGCAGCAGCTTAATGACTTTTCAGTTTCACAAAACAATTCCTACTTCTGTCACTAACACCCTCCAGGCGCACCTGCTCCCGCCTGCCTCTGGTTGTTTTGTAACACTACTTTTTTTTTCTTTTTTCTGGGAATTTACTAGTCCTGTGTCCTATAGCCTCCAGGCACCCCCGGCCTCTGCCTTTACTGCCAAAATACCTGCCAGATCATATGCCAAGGGCAAAGACTGTCCTTTCTACCTCTGGAGCCCCGAGTGCCAGCCCTGCCTTTGCTGCGATTGTTCTGTGCAAAGTGGTTACACCCCTGCCTCCCAGGGCTTCTCTCCATCTGCAGAGAGATTGACCCTGAGGCTGGGAGCCGCGCCCACCTGTCGATGGGGTGGATGATGATGGGGATGACCAGCAGTCCCAGGGCCGTGGTGGTCCACTTGCGGGCAGCCAGAGGCCAGCGGGTGGCAGTGCCCAGGACGTAGAGAGAGGCCGCACATACACGGTTGATGGTGAAGCCTGGGATGGCCACAGAGGCCAGAGCCTGCCACACGAAGGTGTCCACCACGGCCACGGTCACCCTGGTGCGGCGGGTCGCTTCAGGGCCTGGCACCTGGTGGGCACAAGAGAAACTGAATTCAGCAGCGGCAGAGTCAGGAAACCCTGTGGCATGAGGCT